GGGTAGAGGCCGAACCCTTGAAGAATATCATAGAGTTCCCATGTCAGCGTTTCGTCCGGCAAAACATCTTATGCCGCTTCAGCATCCCGGAGCAGATCATCACAGATAATAGTTGGCAGTTCGTGGGCAAGGGGTTTGAAGCATACCTAGCCAAATGGGACATCAAACACTCCAGAGCTTCAGTGGCATACCCGCAGGCCAATGGTCAGGTAGAGAACATGAACCGAACCATCATGGACAGTATCATGAAGAAATTGGAAGACTACTCCTCAACCTGGCCAGAGCAACTGAATTACATCTTGTGGACGTACAGGACAACTCCGAGGACAGCGACCGGGGAAACTCCTTTTGCTCTGACGTACGGCTTTCAGGCCAAAGTCCCCACTGAGGTACTTGTGCCTACGTACCGGACGTTGCACTTCCAGCCGGAGAAAAATGAGGAGAACCCTACGAGCCGAGCTGCATTTCATTGAGGAAAGGAAGAACCTAGCCGCACGGCGCATGGAGGAATACCATCGGCCAACCGAGAGGTATTTCAACAAAGCAGTCAAGACCAGGAAAATCAAAGTTGGGGACCTAGTGCTGCAGAAATGAGAAAAGAGTAAACCACTCGAAGGCGGTAAGATGGCCAAGAACTGGGAAGGGCCGTACAGGGTCTACAATAAGCTTTCCTGGGGGACGTTCCTCCTCCAAACCTTGGACAGCTAAGCCACCGGCATGTGGAACGTGGAACACCTGAAGAAATCCTATCATTAAGCTCACTCAAAATTCCTTCCACCCAAAAAAAGAAAGGGGGGGGGGGGGAAGAGGGAGACATAACTCCCGAAAAACTGGGGAATCTTCAAAAGGACAAACCGATTTTCCATCAAAATCGCGGTCGAGCTCAGCCTAGGATCCAAAGGACCAGGCCAAGAGCAGGCACGACGAGCGGGTGGTGAAACAAAAACTGGGGAATCCTCAAAAGGACAAACCCGTTTCCCATCAAAGTCATGGCCGAGCTCAGCCCAGGATCCAAAGGACGAGGCTAAGAGCAGGCACGACGAGCGGGTGGTGAAACAAAAAATCGGGGAATCCTAAAAAAGACAAACCCGTTTCCCATCAAAATCCCGGCCGAGCTCAGCCCAGGATCCAAAGGACCAGGCGAAGAGCAGACATGACGAGCGAGTGGTGAAACAAAAAACTGGGGAATCCTCAAAAGGACAAACTTGTTTCCCATCAAAATCGCGGCTGAGCTCAACCCAGGATCCAAAGGACCAGACCAAGAGCATGCACGATGAGCGGGTGGTGAAACCAAAAACTGGGGAATCCTCAAAAGGACAAACCCGTTTCCCATCAACATCGCGGCCGAGTTCAGCCTAGGATCCAAAGGACCAGGCCAAGAGCAGGCACGGCAAGCGGGTGGTGAAACAAAAAACTGGGGAATCCTCAAAAGGACAAACCCGTTTCCCATCAAAATCGCGGTCGAGCTCAGCCCAAGATCCACAGGACCACGGTAAAAGCAGGTACGACGAGCGGGTGGCGAAACGAAAAGAGAAGCCCAAAAAAAGGGTTGGGGAATCCCCAAAGGGGATAAACCTGCTCCTCGCCAAATTCGGTGACTTAGCTCAAGCTCATGATCCAAAGGACCGAGCTAAAAGGCGGGTACGACGAACGGATGACGAAGCAAGAATCAAGAAATCCCCAAAGGGGATAAAGCCGTTCCTCACCAAATTCAGTGATTTAGCTCAAGTTCAGGATCTAAAGGACCGAGCTAGAAAGAGCGGATACGACGAACGGATAACGGAACAAAAATAACAACATCAAGGAATGGAAGACAACCATAGCAAATAAAGTGCTGCATTTTATTCATCGGCTCTACCGGCCGGAAAGTACATATCATACACGAGTTTGGAGTGAAATCAGAAGTAAAACATAGTAAAAGTTGTCATGTTCTATTGCCCTAGTCAAGGAGCACACCCTGATCTCTACAAGTCTCACCAGGATCCGTCCAGAGGGATTGTTCATGGGAGGATGATTAGGGAGTAGTTAATTGAGTTCAGAAGGTCAACAGGGCTGCAGAACTTAACAAACTCCCTCGGATAGGAGGAAGGGTCGTCCTTCTCCCCCCTTTCCCCCCCGCGACTGTTTCTGAAGGAGCTTCAGAGCCCCTTCATGAGCCTCAACGAACGAAGCGTTGAGCCCAGCAAATTCAGGGTCAAAAGGAGCAGGGAAGTAACACTCAAAAACCGGAAGATTGCCCGCCACAAGGCCAGTCATCCCCTTGGCGTCGGAGTTATCAGCAAGCTCCTCGAGGAACTCCTGACCTGTATGATTCTTTGATAGAAACCCTATGCCGTCTTGCAACATGTCGGGGCTCTTGGCCAGGTACTCCCCGAGATTCTGGGCGAGATGCCTCTTCGCACGGACGTCCACGGCATAAATATGGGCCTTGGATTTTTGAAACTCGATGGATCCAGCATTCTTGATCTTGGAGACATCAGTCTCAAAGATAGGAACGGCCCCCTCCATGCCTACCAGGCGAAGCTGCACGTCGGCTTTCTCCACGGCGACCATCTTGGCATGAAGTAGTTGTAACTCCTCGGCTTGCTTCCGGACCATCTCTTGGGAAGAGACACTCTCTTTAGCAAGGGCAAGGGCGACATTCAACTCTTGCTGCATCTTGCTGAGACGCTGCTTAGTTGTCTTCACAAGGGCCTCGGTTTCATAACGCAACTTGGCGGAGGCACGATCCTGCGCCTCGTAGGCAAACCGCGCCTTGCTGAAGTAAATGACAGCCTTATTGAGAGTGCTAACGCCACATTCATGAAGATCCACCGGGATCTAATAGGCAACAAAATCCCGGGGAACCCTCAACCCCAAAGAACACAAGATAGAGGAGGTTGTCTGACCAAACAGCTTCTTCGACTCCGCACGGAGACCCAACCAAGAGAACTCGATTATGCTAGTGGAGGAATCTTCAGGCTCAGGCGGTGGGGGGCATTCATCGCCCTACTTGCCGAAATAGAGGACTGATTCTTGGGTGGGGAGGCAGCTTCATCGTCCGACCCATCAAGGACCACTGCAGCTTCGGAAGACCCCTCCCCATGACGGGGCTTCTTGAGCAGCCGCTCGTCCCCAACGCGGACCTCGGCCTTGGGCCTCTTCAGGCACAAATCGTCGTCCACAATTTGTTTCCCCTTACCAACATCGGCCCGGTCCGAGGTAGGAGGGATGTCACCCCTAGAAACCATGACGGGGGACTTGGGGAAAAGTCCTGCACAAAGAAAACACAATAGTCAGAGCGATGTTTAAACTCACAACACGAAGGTCCAAACCCCGAGCTGTAAAGGGGACGCACCTATGCCAGCTTTGTTCAAATTGGTGTCATTCAAAAGCAAACACAGGTTTTCGACCCCCGAGCCAGCAATACGTCTGGCCTGCTCTAGCTCGATCGAGCTCAGGGTTGGAGGCTCAAACTTGACCGAGAAGGCATTCTACCGATCAAAGAATGGCAGAGGGGACCCAACCTCGGCAAAAAAGAACCTCTCTTCCCAGCCGTTCGGATTTGGTGGGTTGTTGGAAAAGAGGACTCTCCACGGACGGGCCACAAGGTTAAGGTAACCCGTTTGCCCGCTGGGGGAGAGCCGAAAAAATGCAAAAACAGATTCACAGAAGGGAATGATAAAGCTAGCGATAATCCGATGGGAGTTTGGGACGAGCTGTGTCGGGGCTATGCCAAGGCCCCTAAACAAAGAAAGATGGAAAGGTAGCAAGGGAAAAAGGATCCCGGCAAGCACGGAGTCCAGGTGCAACCACATGACCGCGCAAATGCGGCATGGGATGACGGATGGTTCGAGCGTCCCAGCCTCGTGGGGGAGGGAATAGTTGGGGGATCAGTCCCCTCACATGAGAAAGCAGACGTTGGCATTCATGCCGAACGTTATTGAAATTAAGAGAACATCGGGGAGGCCGAGGTGGCATCCCACGCTTATAGACCGTTAGGTCATCACCAGAGTAACAACCGTCATGGGACAACTGCCCAGAACGCCTACGGGAAGAAGAGGTCAAGACCATTGAGGCCATGGAAACGTACGGAAGAAAAACAAGTACTTGCTGGGATGAGCTAAGGGGTTTAGAAAGAGAAAGCAATCTGGCAGAATAACAGCTAAAGAAGGAAGCGCGATAATTCCATCAGGAAAATGGGATACTTATAGGCTTCCCCGCCGATTCCCCCAAACCCAGGAGGAACACATGGCAAATCATGTTTGGTAGATTCTACGGTGGGCACAACGCTTCGATACCCGTGCCGACCGAATACACGTGTTTGGAACACTACTCTACACCGAGAAGACGGACGTCACCATAACCATCGGAACATAATCCCGAGGGACGGGGGTCATGCCGTACAGAACGCCACCAAAAAAAATATACAGATTGGTTCCTAAGGCATCTAGAAAAAAAACATACAGGCGAACATTCAAAGATTAAACAATAATCATTGGACAACAAGAAGCAAAATCGAATCTTTATTCTTCGGCAATACCGGTCGGAGGTATACATATTGAAAATACAAAAGCAAGAAAGGAATCATTCTAAGAAGCCGTGGGCGGGGGAACAACGAGTAAGGGAATCCAGATCTTTGTCCTCCTCATCAGAGCCGACTTCGGGGGTAGGGGGTTCGGGAACCTTTCCATTCTGCACAGCCTCAGCCCGCCTCTGGTCACAGTCGACTTTGGAGAAGACCCTCCAGAGCTCCTTGTCCTCTGTATGATCATCCACATTAAATGGTGGACAACCAACCCGAAGGAGGATCTGTTTCAGGCCCTTCATGCCTAGGTAGTACCCTTTGGTGAAGCTATCATCGGCCAAGTCGAGCATCCACTCAGCACCAAGCGACCTTCGCTTCAAGAGCTGCACTCCATGATCCAGACGCTCCTTAGGCTCCTTTGCCTGTAACTCGTCCTCAAAAACTTCCCCCACGGCCCCCCGTAAATAATCATGGGCGGCCTTCAAAAAAGAGCGGCATCTTCTTGAACTCATCGACATCAAGGGCTAGGGTAAGAGCGTCGCCGGGAGCGGCCTCACCTTCAGAGGTTGGGACCGAGGCAGCAACGGGAACAAAGGAGATTTAGTGCTTCTCCACCAAGGCCACCTTGGCAAGGATGTCATGCTTCTCCTTCTGGACCAGATCCAGAGCGACTCGGAACTCTTTCTTCTCAGCCGCCGCAGCCGCCTCCTTAGCCCGTGCAGCCTCCTGCTCCGCCCACAGAGCCTCATCAGCTCTCCTCTTGGTCTCAGAAGCCTCTTGCTCCTGGGCAGCTTCTGCTTATAACACGCTCCATCCAGCCTAAAGAGGAAAATGCGGTCACAAAGGGACGAACGGTAGAACGAGATCAAGGGAAAAAGGAAAGAAAGCGTAAAGGGGTGGGGCCTTACGTCGAGAATCTGTGTCATAGCTTGGCCAACAGCCTTAATCGACGAATGAGGCGATAACTTCACCCCAGCTTGGAGAGCCATTTGCCTCCATACTTCAGGAGCCGGACGTCCGGAAGAGGGCAGTGTGGCATCAGGGCCAGAGGGCTCGGTGCGCTACCTCTTTGATTTTTTCCCCTTGGTCTTATCCCCATTTGCGCGGGGGGGGGGGGGGGGCGACACTCATAGGCTCCGCATCCAGAATCAGGCCAGTTTCAGCATTGAGGACCCCCGAGCTCTAGCCAGTCACAGCTGCGATGAGCTGCTGCTCGGCCTCCCCAACGCGTCTGTCAGCTTGAGACGCGGCAGAAGAATTGGCCTTGGAGGACTGGGCACCCTTCCTTTTCCTCTCCGGTGCAGCACGCTTCTTGGCTGCCTTTTCTTCACGACGAGCCATCAGGACGTTGTCCTCCATCTGTTCTTGGGTAGGAGGGAGACCGAAAACAAGTAACAAAAATATCAGAACAAGGCGTCACTAATCTCAAGGGCACTCACCTCAGGGACTGGGCCGCACGGGCCCACAAGATAAACACGAGCAAATGTTAATCCAGGGATCACGGGCTGTACCTATCCCTGCATCGAAGAGGGCCCTGATTGTCAGAAATTCCTTCAACTTCTTGACGTCATCCAACTTCAACTTCTTGACGGCATCATCCAGTTATGCGGACGGCTCCGACTGTTTTATCATCGGAGGAAATCCATTCCACCTCACGGGAAGCCGCTCGTCTGAATAACGGAGGAAGAAGAAGCGGTTCTTCCAATCATGAATAGAGGTTGGGGCACCCTCAAATAGCTTCTAGTGGGGACGGGCGGCCACGCTCTGAAATCCATCGGCATTTTGGGGAGCGACCTGGAAGAAGTAGTGGAAGAGGTCCAGGCTCGGGGTGAATCCTTTCGATTGGCAACGGACGATAAAAAATGGAGATGAGCCGATACAAATTCGGCATGAACTGGGCCGGAACAACGTTGAAACAACGGAAGAAATCAAAGTAGAACTGATGAAGGGGGAACTGCAATCCGGCCTTGATGGAATCTAAATGTACCATGGTCATTCCCGGGCGTCTCTTGAGGAGATTGTCGGCACCACGGAGGCTGTAGATGAACGGCGGGGGAAGGAGGATCCGCATCTTCTTTAAAGCCTTGCATGACAAAACTTGCGCAATCCCAGCAACGTTATGGATAAGCATGATGTGGAAGGGGGTATCCACTGGGATGCCTAGGCCAAACACCTGCAGATCATCCCCCTTGACGACCTCATCGCCAGAATCATAGTCGGTTGGGTGCTCCGCCTCCGCGTCTGGTTGAGTCGCCACCATTGGAACATTTTCAGTGGCAACATCCACGCCAGCTTCCCCTCCCGCATCTCCGGGAACAGCTATGTCCGCCATAACATGTCCCACTACCGTGGAGGCGCCAGAATGGCCGGAACTACCCACCTCCCCTAAGGAACGGGACCTAGAGTCCGAAGCAGAGGAGGGACCAATGGAAGAACCGGCAGAAGAAACGGATCCGGAGCCCGATTCCGATGATATCTCCATGGAGCAGGCCATGGGGAGGGATTACAAGAAAATAGAAGAAGGGATTAAAAACAAAGTTACCTTACGAACGGTCGCATAATGATTACTTGTTCATCAGAAGTTGAACCAGCCTGCATAACCGTCACCTAGAGCCTCGTGAATGGCAACCGGAAAGGCAACCGTCACATCAGGGACTTCGGCTTAGGGCGACACGGCGGAAGCGTTTTACTTCCTTATGTTCCGTGCACGCTCGGAACATTAGAAGTGGGGGACTTGTGTTGGGTTAATGGCCCAACAAGGGCCGACCCATCAACCCATAAGGGCCTCCTATGAACGACCCATCAATCCATAAGGGCCTCCTACGAACGTCCCCAGAAGGCCCACGAGGACCTCCTACGAACGTCCTGTTGAAAGCCCAAGACGAGGGGTTATATGTCCGCTAGTTCGGGAAGAGAGTCATCCCGAAGAGAGACAAGCTTCAACACCAAGAGTCAGGAGACGTACGTACCCCATTATCAGCAGGGATCCAGGCCCAAGAGTCCCGCAGGGTACATGGGGACGATCGTCCCCACCCCTTGACAGGATGCCAATAATAGCTCAAGAATAGCTCAAGGATAGCTCAAATGCATGGGGACGAACGTCCCCGTCCCTTGGCAGGGGATCAGGACTCCAGCAGGAGACAGGAGCCAAGCCCTTGGGGACGAACGTCCCCACCCCGTGGCGGGTATCCAAGATCCTGGCGGGAAACGCATTTAATGCAGAAGATTTGGTGGTTGGGATCATACCTTCCACAGCCAGTCACGTCAACACATCCAACCACCCACTGGCAGTATAAATAGTAGTATTTATTTCACTGTAAAGGGTTGACAATTTAGAACTCTAGCATTCTAGCAATTATATCAGCTCATAGCCCAGCTATGTACGAACGGCCTTTCGGCTTTGTAATCGAATCAGTGTATTGAAGCTCTTGTTTGGGCCATTCCTTGCTTGTTCTTCATCTAGCTTACTCATTCTTCCGTCCGAAACCCTTGGGACTCGTGTTGGGCCTACGGGTTGAAGAATATACCTCAACAATAACGATAACAGCAGAGAAAACTAACATATTCATCTTCATATGTTCATCAAATAACACTGAAATTGAACTTATCATTTTCGTCAACATGCCAGATGACGTACGAGAAAGTTGTACACATGCTACATTTATATTTTCTATGTGTAGAATTAATTTATACTACAAAAATGTCAAGTTTAGAAAAAACTTAATTTTGCTATGTTTGAAAAAATGCTAGAAATATAGTAATGTCTAATTTAAGCTTTAGTCTGCCACCATATATCTAATTTTAGTATTAAATAATTGCATAATTTATATTGTAATGACATAAAAAAGCGAGGTCGCGACTCTTGGGGAGGAAGATTTAAAATGTTAATCTCATATGCATTTAGTACATGCATTCAATTGATCAATTTGTGTTTTAATTTTTTATTTTTATAAAATATGAGAAATGTATGTTTTGTCCCTTTTTTTGTAAAGTACTCAAACATGAGTTTTTTCTATTTTTAAACAGAACAAGTTTACTTTTCATTTTAAATGTGTATTTTATATGAAAAATGACACATGTTTAAAACGCAAAAAAAAAAGAAAACTAAACTAAGAATGAAGAAAAGAAAAGTTTTTTTACGGAGTACAAAGGAAGTTAAGGAACCCCGTGTGAGACGGATATTTAGGAGGAAACTAGAGCCGTGAGATTCAATCTAAACTAGCGGCTTAGATCAATTCGCCGTTCTCAGGCTACGCTTTTCATCTTGCATTCCGTATGTATATATATACTTCGTATATACTAGTTGGGGCAGATAAACCCTACCGAAACCCTAACTCCCGCCCGCCTTGCGAAACCATGGCCGCCGAATCTAAACTCCGCCCTGGAGATGAGCCTCCCTCCGCGTCATCCGATGAAGTCGCATCGTCTTCCGGTGAGGACGAAACGTCTTCCGGTGAGGACGAAACGTCTTCCGGTGAGGAAGAAAAGATTCCCGAGCAAGAAGAACAAATTGGTCAACTACAGCAACCTGAATCCGATTCCGATGACAGCTCTAGCTCTGAGGGAGAGGACGAGGAAGAAACAACCCAGGCACCTCCAGTCTTGAGTCCAATTGTTGGCCAGAAACCTCAATCCTCTTCGGAATCCTCGGAAGAGGAAACCGATTCAGATTCGGATTCCCTGGAACGCCAAACTTTAGCATCCGCATCCGCCTTCACCCCGGTGCCCCATCTGACTTCCTCCCAAAAGGTTCCTGAATCTTCAATGCCACCACCTGTAAAGCGTGCCTTGGATGTGGAAGAGGAAGATTCAAAGAAGTCAAAGAAGAGCAAATATGCGGAAGAAGACGCCTCTACTGAGGGAAAAGAGTCTGCAGATGACCAGGTCTCGAATGACGATAATCAGATTGCATCTATCATAGGTGGGATTGTGAAAAGTCTAGGTAATGACAACATCATTATGGATACACCAAATGCAGTGGAAATTTATGGACAAGCTGGACTCGAGGGAAATGATGAACAGACTGTTCAGGTTGAAAATGTTAAGAATGTTAAGCCCAAATACCCCTACTTGGTCGAGTGTATCACCAAGGAGTATTATCCAATGTTTGCTGATGCTGCATTGGATATGATCAAGAAAAAAGTGAATATGATGGAGAGTTCTGAGGCTTCAGAGATTGAGGAGAAATGGTCCAAGGTGTGGGAAGAACAGCTTGAAATTTGTGCGAAGGTTGCAGACTTGGTTGCTCTACAGACTAGGATGGTGCATGAAGCTATGAAGAAGTAACTATGAAGATGCCAGCTCTGTTTAGTTATGTTTTTTGTCTAGTATGCTTTTTGCAGGATTGAAAATCGAACGCTAATTTGGACACACAGCAACATTCAAGTTTGAATTTTCAATTTTATTAGAATCTGTAGTATTAAAATGTAATCTCTCTCCTCTCAAAGTATGTTCTTGGGGCATTCAAGGTGTTTGAGGATATGTCTGCAAAAGACTATCATTGAGCTTAAAATAGGATTTGGTGTTGTTTTTTGTTGTTGGGAGTTTAAAATGGGTCTCAGAGAGCTTTAACTGAATGCTTTGTTTTGATTTCTACCAATTGACTGTTAGAATGTAACATTGGTAAGTAAAATCAATGGACTTCATTTGATTAGAGTATACTGGCAATTTAACCATATGAATATGTGAGATGAATGTTCTTATGTTGCTAACTTCCTCTTTTTAGACATCTCTGTTTGCTAACTATTTAAAATTTTGACAAAGTTGACCGGCACGGGGAATAATAAAGTAAAAAGTGTGTGGTTAAGATTTGTGCAGAGGAGAGAAATAACAGAAATCATAAAATAATTGATTAAAAAGGAAAGTGAGTTTTTTGAGAGGTCCTAAAAAGGAATGATGGTGAAGTTTTAAGGGGCGGAGGGAGTAGTACACATCCTCCCAAGATTCCCCCATAAGGAAAGCTTCATTTGGAATTTGATGGAATTTGCATTTGTGAAGTGGTCGTCATTCAAACTGGCTAAATGGTCAGCCTTCATAAACGGCAAAATGGCTGCCCTTCATAAATGGCATCAGCAGAGCTTTGTATTCACATGACTTCATCGGCCTAATTCTTTAGATCGGTGCCACTAGCTCAACGAAGGACTTCAAGTGACACCGATGACCTGCAATCGGCCTAATTCTTTAGATCGGTGCCACTAACCCAACGAAGGGCTCCAAGTGACATCGACGCTCGACAATCAGCCTAATTCTTTAGATCGGTGCCACTAGCCCAACGAAAGGCCCCAAGCTACACCGATGACCTGCAATCGGCCTAATTCTTTAGATCGGTGCCACTAACCAACGAAGGGCCCCAAGTGACACCGATGTCCGGCAATCAACCTAATTCTTTAGATCGGTGCCACTAGCCCAACGAAGGGCCCCAAGCAACACCGATGACCGACAATCAGTCTAATTCTTTAGATCGGTGCCACTAACCCAACGAAGGGCCCCAAGTGACACCGATGATCGGTTATTAGCCTAAATCTTTAGATCGGTACCACTAGCCCACTAGCCCAATGAAGGGCCAAGCAGCACAAATAACCGATAATAGCCTAACTCCTTCCTCTTCATTTAATGGAGCCATGAGCAAATCACTTGAAACAGCATGTCATGGATGAACTTTGCACAAGGGAGCAGTAGCATCGCAGACCGATTTCCTTCTTCTGACCAAAGCTGCAGCAGAGACCTCAAATTTATTCACCACGAACAAATTCTCTTCCAGCAAAGGTTCCAGCGACAAAATCAGACCAGCTAGCCCCACCATCTTCCAATAACGACAACATCTCCTCTCTCCGGTGAATGGTGTCGGCAACGAAATCAGACTTATCATCTCCTCTCTCCGGCGAAAACGGCATTCCGATCTTCAAATATCAACGAAAGTGGTCCTCGTCATCTTCTCCGGCATCAATTCGAATTCTGGCCGTCAACTTCTCGATCTCAGCAACGTTCCTTCTCTGACAAACGACCAGACAACATAAGAAATTGGAAGGACCAACCGCAGAAAACTTGGAGTGATTCTACTCTGCTCATCGAAATATAGAAACCCAATCGGCGGCCAGCTTGCTTTTGATACTTGCCCGCAAAGATCCTCCTCGAAGCCTCGGTCTGTTGCCCACCATCGGAAGTCAACCTCGAACTCAACAATACTAACAGAAACAAGATAGCGATTGACGGCCATGCCAAAGTTTCGGACCCAACATCTACTCCACCGGGATTTTGTAGCAGACTGGCAGCCTTATCATGACTTCATGGTTTCAGCCCTTCTATTGCAATATATCTTACTGTAAAGTCAAGGGTCCCTGCAAAAAGAGAAAAGAACGGGGTAAAGGCATATGTGTTAAAATATACATAAGCTCACCTTAATCAATTTAGTCTTCTGCCGCCTTTAATATTTCTTCTTGGCCGAAATTGCATCTGTGAAAGGGGGTTCTTGATATCTCTATTTATAAAAGTTTGGGTATTAAAGTTTGAATAGGACACATATACGAAGATACTGCCAGATACCAAGTTATGTGTATTTGAGTCCTACTTGAATGCCAGAAGTATTCCTTTGCTATGATTGCTCGGTTGAAACTTGAAAGTTTCGATCATGGGCTCCAGATTATTATTCATTAGCAGATTGGACACATAATGAATAACAGAATATTCTAAGCTTACGTGCATACCATTAACTTGCCTCGACTTATTCAGAAATGTTGGGCCTACTCTTACCCAAAAAAAATGAGTAGGAGGATTTTGAGCTTAGAGGCACCGAGTCTTGCCCGCCCATTTAGGAGAAAAGTCCAACCAAGTCTCGAGGGAGCATTTGTGGACATCAAAAAATTTATTGGACCATCTCTGATAATCAATGGACCTCTTCAAATGCTATCGGACTATTATCTGTTTTATTGAGCCTCATTTAAGGGCTACTGGATCAACGTTGAATTCTACTGGGCTGCTCATGAATGCTATCTGCCTTATCAAAACGAAAATATTACTATGAACCCGTTCAGATAAAATGCAATGATTAAATTAATTTGGGTCATTTAAATATCCAATTAATTTAATTATAAAGTCAGTCTTTAAAAGAATGGGCCGGTCCTATTAATTTATTTATTTGAGCCCAATATTAAAGAATGGCACAATAAATAAGAGACATCATCCAATATATGAAGAGGAGGACGAATCTAGTTAATAAATCAGCCCATATGCATGGAAAATGGCTATGAACCTTGTTAAAAATGTTATCCAGATACATCAGATAAGTGCTGATTTTTCTAGCTATTAAAATGCAAGAAAAAAGATCAAAGCCCATTTTTATTGAGGCCCAAGGGGTATGGACGAATTTCCAAAACCCTAAAGCATATTTTCACCTCCTCGACACCTATAAATAGGGGTCTCAGATGAGAGGAAAGAAAGAGAATTTTCAGACGAAGAAACGCTGCAGAAAAGCTCTCAAGAACTCCCGAAAGGCTCGGAACGATTCCGAAGAAGGGGAATAGATCAAGCCACGAATTTTATTAAGAATATACGAATAATCCTTCGTGATTTCATTGATTCTTAATAAAATAAATCCAAAAGTTGAAGAACGTTCGAAGATCTGAAGAACGAAGCTTGAAGATTTGAAGATCTGAAGAACAAGACTTTGAAGATTCGAAGATATGAATAACGAATCTTTGAAGATTTGAAGATACTCATATGAAGATTGAATCTAAATTCAATTGAAGATCAAGCCATATAACGGCCCTTTTGTTGAAGATCAAGCCGCTTGAAAACTGGAGGCCCTTCAAGTTGAATTCTTAATTCAAGAAGATTTGAAGATCCGACGAACGAAGATTCGAATATTCGAAGATCTCAAGAAGGAAGATTTGAAGATCTGAAGAACGTTCGAACGTTTGAAGGATTAAAGATTTAATTTTGAATTAATTTCTTTAATTATATTAATGTCAATTTGCAAGTGAAGAATAAAAGGATTCATATTTAGAGATTGTACCCAATATTCTCACATATTATTATTTGCGATCAATTTTAAGTAAATACTTAAAATTTGTTTCATAGATAGTAAGAATAAGCATTAAGAAACATCCAATTGGCTTCGACTTGACAATGTCTCAATCAAATTTATATAATAATATATGGAGTAGTATGTTAATAGTTTCAGCCTTAAAACCTAATAACATGACTATGATAGAATTTTTTAAACTTGGAACCAAACTTCCTCCTCATATCCTAACCCCTGTATCACAAGCCATTTTTTCCCAAAATGTTGCCTAAATACCATATCACTTATGATGAGCAGTAACGAAATTGGTTTAACAGATGACAGTGGCTTCTAACAACTTTGTATAATAGCCCATTAACATTTTAGGTGTTAACACACAATAATGAGTCTATTAAACACTCTCGAAAACATACTAAACTATGTAAATTTCATTCTTTCATAAATTGGTATATGGTAACGGTTGGAAATATGATGAAATATATTATTTTGAGGGTCTCGTTTTCGAACCCTATGACATCAATTGTGTACAATATGAATTGGAGAAGGCTTAAATACATCAAAGAACAATTTACATATTTGGATATATTTCATTTAATGACTAGAATCCATAGTTGTAAAGTTGTTAAGTGATGTACTAATAAATTGAATGTAATTGTCCAATTAAAAAAATTAGTAGTCTCATCATGATTAATTAATTATTTGTATATGACAAGGAACATTAGTGTTCAAGTTTCATATAAAGTGACATGATATATTTTTCCAAACATATACTTGAAAAGACGGATTATGATTGGTTTAATTATCACAAGTCAAGAGACTATTTAATTGGGTGGACAACAATTCTGTGGTTGCTATACACCTGCTTTGTTTTTATTTTTAATAATAAAAACTACCCGCCTAGTGGAACAAGTCATAGCTGATCCAAATGTTAAAATTGAATTTAAAATTCAATTTGATTAAGCCTGGTCAACAAATTGTTGAGGGATCCTAAAGACTTGGGATCGTGGCTTTTATTTCGGTTAGTTTGGCCGGCCACTTCTCTCCATTTTTCTTTTAAAACAAAATATATATCTGATTTCCAAATGAAGAATCCCACGACACAAAACCAATTCTAGCGTACAAAAGCTCTTCATTCTTGCTCTTAGAAAACCACCCATACAAACAAAACTACGTGGGATACTCTCTGTATCTCCACTTTAAAAAGTTCTTCCACTTCATTTTTTTTCTTTGAGCAGCCACAGTGACATAAGATACCGAGCATATCTATACGTACTATATTCTTCTCCTATTGTGAGCTCTTCTCTAGTCAACGACAATTTGGGCAACAGTCGAAGGTTTCAGTCAAGGTAGCTACAAGTCTGAAACGGTGTAGGATTATCCTGGGAGCGAGTTGGCCAGTCCCGTTCGAGTAGCTATCGAGATACGGGGGCTATCTTTCTTCAAGGCCAGTCCGGTCAACGGGCGATCTTACGCTAAGTTTTTCATCTTTTGCTTTTTCCATTATTTTATTTCTAATTATTATTATTTCTTTATCTGTTCTTGCATTTGGTGGTTTGTCTGGTGATTTGTGATTAAACTCGGGATTTTATCTGACTAAACTCGCTTTATTAATACTATTTTTCTAACAGTAACCACTCAAACA